AGAGAGATTGGCCAGAATAAAGATAGGTCGATTTTCAATTTTGATAGATGGTGGCCATTTGCTCTGCATATTAGGTATGCTCGTGATTGGACTCAATCCAGGTTTGTAATTATTCTCAAAGTTGTATGAGAGAGCTTCAAAAAGTTTGTGAGAAAATTCCATTTTGCACAAACTTTTTGAAGGCCCCTGTGTGTATGGGCTTAGTAGGTCTTTGTAGTTTTATAGTTCATATACTCATTATTAGGTTATATCTTGAGAATTTGCTATTGTTCTCTCTTGGGATAAGTAGCCACCAACATTGTCTCATTGTAATTTTTTTAGACATAGCTATATATTTGTATCACGTTTGTTTATCCAGCTATCTCTATCTCTTATCTATCTATCCTGGAAAAGGACATAATTTTCGGTAAAGTAGAAGGTCAGTGAAAATGATGATGTCTCTAAAAGATATGGATTGATAACCTGGCTGCAACATTGGGCTCAAACATAACAAAAATTGTGTGAATAGCACAAGAGTTGGCAGTGTGCCATTCTATTGTACATGCTGAACATTCTATTGTATTTACTATGAGTTGCAACAGAATTAAAGGCACCTAAAAACAAGAATAATATTTTGCTTAAAATATGCTTTTATGTGAAATATTGTTACAACACGTGATACTTGGTTCTACAAGCACTTTCAAGTAATATGACTACTTCAATGAGATGTATGAAAAAGAATAAAACAATAAGTGATTATTCTTTCTCCCAGTGGAATTGTGATTTGGGAGATACAGTATTACATTGTAAAATGTTGGAGATCATTCTTATTACAAATTGTGTTAACTGGTTAAAGGTCTTAGACACAATATCCCAGGGAAGATATTTGCTTATATTGATTTACCACTTAATTGTAGAGGTTGCTTACTGGGGCATAATGATGTGTGAATAAATGAAATAATATGAATTCACATTTCTAATTTACTTCTTAATAGCTCTGTGACATAAAGGAAATTATTTTTATGCCTCAACTTTTGCATCTTTGAATTGTTTGTAAGCAACATCTGCCTCATATTTTTAGAAGAGAGATATTGTATGAGCTTCAAAAAGTTCATGGAAAAATGGTTTTAAAAGATACTGGAATTTTCCCACACTTTTTGAAACACTCTCCCTGCCCTATTTGTTTGACAAACATCAGACCAAAAAATAACCCTGTCGTCTTTGAGTTGATTCCAGCTCATAGGACTGACTCATAGAGTTCCCATCGTTCTGATCTTTTTAAGGTCATGATATGAAGTAGATGCCATGTATTTCTCCCCTGGGATTGAACTGCTGCTGACCTTTTGGTTAACAGCAGGTGCTTAACCATCGTACCACCAAAACGCCTTTCGGAAATTATTGGAACTCACACACAGTGACTTGTCTCCTTAGCTGTTCTCAAGATATAGTTGATAGTATAAAGCTAGTACTTTTTAGTTTCCAAAGAATTCTTAATAATATGTAACTTCAACATTCCTCCGCACCCCCTTTTTTCCCTTCCTGTAGGGTGAACTATCCCATGATCAAGACGTGGTTGAGTATATCATGAATCAGCCAAATGTAGTTCCACGAATTAATTCTAGGATTTTGACAACTGAGCGAGAGTATTTGGATCTAACGGCAAATAGTAAGGAGAATTGTGGGGATATCTGTGGACTTTTAAAAAATATCCTGCTTTGTGCTTTGGAATGTTTGCATTTATTGGATTTTAATTTTTAGACTGTATTTTACGATTGCAACTACATTTTGTTTTAAATATGTTGCAATCTGAGTTAATAATAAGAGGTTTTACTTTTATAAGAATAGAGGAATTCTTCCTGCATTAAGCCATGAAAATAGATTTGGCGGGGAGAGCTTTGAGAAACAATCAGTTCTTACAATGAGTTGGAATTGAGTGAAGGGCAATGTGAATGAGACATTGCCAGAGAGGTACATCCTTTTTCTTGTAAGTGGACTTTATTTGTTTGGAAAAATTTTAAATTTACAAAATAATTTGAGAAGATTGTGCAGAATGTTCCTATATGTACTACATTAAGTTTCTTATATGTCTGTTATAATGATAAATCAATATTTTTACATTATTACTAATAAAGTCCATAGTTTGTTTTTTTTTAAAAAGGGCCAAACTAACCAGATATTGGGCAGTAAGAAAGACTTTTAATTTTGTCGGCCTTACGAGCTTTCTAGCAATAGGTGACTTACTTTTCTTTAACCTCATCTAAAATCAGTATACATCAATCTCAACTGATATTTCAGCTTAAAAATACCTGCTTTATTGAGATCTAATTCACATACTATTAAATCTGTCCCTTAAAAGTGTATCATTCAGTTGTTTTTGGTATATGCATAGTTGAACATCTAGCTATCATCATTATCTCAATTTTGGAACATTATCATTACTTCTGCAGGAGAAAGACTGGGCTTTTTACTCTTGTAAACAGTTAGTCTCAGAAACCCACAGGGGGTTGCTATGAGTCAGCACTGACTTGATGGCAGTGAGTTTGTTTTTGTTTTTTGGTTATCATTACTTCTTTTTTATATATACATATAATTTATTATTAATTGGGAATTAATACACATATCATTCCATAGTTCAATCATGTTAAGCAGTATTGTACAATTGCTACCACAGTTTCCAAACATTCTGGGTAAGCAAGCTGTTTGTGGAGGACATTGATGTAACGTTTGCCTTGTATTGAGGTCTAGTGCCACATATGGTTAGAGCAGCATCTCTCAACCTGTGGGTAGCGACCCCTTTGGGGGTCGAATGACCCTTTCACAAGGGACGCCTAAGACCATCGGAAAACACGCGTTTCCAATGGTCGTAGGAACCGAGACACTTGCTCCTCTGTCCGTCTCCAGGCGAGTCCGCCTACATGCAATACACCCACAGACTAGTACCCATGCTACACCATGCTTCAAGACAAAATTTCACTTATTTGTAATTAAAAATAAATATTTCACAATATATAATTACATTTTGTTTTTGTGATTAATCACTGTGCATTAATTATGTTTAATTTGTAACAATGAAAATACATCCTGCTTATCAGATATTAACATGATGATTCATAGCAGTAGCAACATTACAGTTATGAGGTAACAACGAAAATAATTTTATGGTTGGGGAGTCACCACACATGAGGAAGTGTATTAAAGGGGCGCGGCACTAAAGGTTGAGAACCACTGGGCTAGAGAGCTTACTGGACCCAGAGAGCTCATGGACTTCACTGGAGCCCATTTTGTTGGTAGGAAGCAATTGTCGGGTATAGTTTAATCTCGAGGGAGTGACTTGATTAAACTAGGAAGTTAGCGATATGAGCATTGCCTTTGGGTGCTAAATACAGGATACATATCAGAAATGCTGAAAAGGATCTGAAAATGACCTTTGTTTCTGTAAAGATGAAGCAAGCTATTATTCTATTAGACATGAACAAATATACAGCACTCATGTTTTCTCTCCCATTCCAGCTCCTCTCCAGTAAGTTAGAGGATGATGTGTTGAGCAGGGGCTGTGTGATGAGCTTGCGTCATAATCATGAAATGTAGTAGATTTCATTCACATGCATCTTGGAATTTTTGTAGTCTGATAAAATTAGATTGACTTGAAGTGTATGAGCTCTAAGTATATTTCAATATTTTTGTTTTTCAGATAACTTCTTTGTGGATGACTATGCTAGATTTACTGTCTTGGATTCTCAAGGAAAAACTGCTGCTGTAGCCAATAGTATGAAATACCTGACAAAGAAAGGTAATTCGTTTTATGCATACCTTGGATTCAACATCACTTTTTAATAATTGGGACAATAATTTTACCTGTAGTTTGTATTGGATAAGAGATTTCATAATTTTATTTCTTTATATATATGCAGAAAAAGTTTAGATGTAGCGTTAGCCAGCCGAGCTCAGTTTAGATGATTGCAATTTTGTTGGCAAATCTAAAACATCACAGTCAGGAGGCAGTTGAACACGTATGCCTTCTTCTCACCATCAGGCCTGAGCAAGGTGTTGACCTTGGCTACGTCAGTGTCATAGAGCTTCTTCACAACCTGTTTGACCTTATAGCAAATCTACAAAATCCTAGTTTAAAAATTTATTCCTGTGTATATTTAAAATTTTCTTATATATGTTCCTTATCAATTTAATATTACACACTAAAGTCAATGCGAAAAAAATCTTTCATGGCTCAAAAGGAAACTTTATGACATCAAAATGGGTTAGTTCTTCAAAAATTGATTTGACTTGTTATGAGATACACTTAATACTAGAAAGCCTTGCATGTTTAAAAAATAACAGTTTATATGTGGCGTTATTTGTTTAGACTGAGGTTGTATAAAATGATACCCTTTTAATTGGGGACAGATTATTTTTCAAATTTCATCTCATTTATTGCCCTATCTTTTAATGTGGTAGGTGAGTCTTTTTGTATTCTTCTACTTGAGATTTCTGGTTTCCCAAATATATGTAAGTATAGACAGTTTCCCCATCTAATTCCTAAAAAAAAAAAAAAATAACATCTCTAATATGGGAGTTTATGTTTTTTGCAAAATGTATTCCAAATATTGGACTTAGAAAGATGTATAGGTCATGGTAGGCAATATTTAGAGACTTTGCTCTTATAGTATGCATTAATTACAGCAATTCTCCTTTGCTCTTTTTCCTTACATTTGTCCAGGAATGTCCTCCAAGGAAATCTATGGTAACTTAAAATTTCAGAATGTTCTACTCAATTTCTTATTTACTTTATATGGTTTCAGGAACCATTGTAATTTAGAATTTACTGGCACTTTATCGTACTATTTCTGGAACCCGCGGGTTTCAAGGGCTTTATTAGTGCAAAGAAATTTTTGTAAGGAAATGATATACCACTCCTCACTTATCAACATAGTTAGGTTCCAAAGACTAGGTCTTTATGCAAAAAATTAGTGTTATGTGTAAATGGGACATGACCACAGCAGATCACAAAATGGATTATGGTTACACCATTACATAACTACCAAATTACATTCCTATACAACTATCAATGCTCTAAAAATAATGGCTCAGACACATAACTGACCACAACAGTCACAATACTCCTTGCCTAGGACCTCAGGATTTGTAACTACTAGATATATGTCATTAATATGCAAAGTAGTTGGATAGTGAAATTGGATAGTAAATGCAAAATGTTCTGTAACAATTTAGTCAATAAGTGAGGAGTAGGTGTAATATATGTTACTTACATGTTTGCAGGCTTATGCTACCCCTTTTACATGCTAACAGATATTCAAAGCATAATAGATTTAATCACTGCATGTTTTTAGCTTTTATTTAAGCCTCTTGGAAGGCTACCCAACTTTAGGTTCCTATAAAGAAGTTCATGACTTTTGCTTTTTATTTTTTTACTAAGCTTGCTTCTTCCCCCCCACCCCCATTTTGCATGATTTCAGAAATCATTTGGCTTTATAAAAATATTGAATCTTAGAATGTGCTTTCCCTACCCCCACCCCCAAACTCATTGCTTTGGTTTTCCTACAGATGATTCTTTTATCAGGCCAGTAACTTTTTGGATTGTTGGAGATTTTGATAAGCCTTCTGGAAGACAATTATTGTATGATGCTATTAAACATCAGGTAAGTATATACATGTTTATATATATTTCTCTTTGAGGGTATAATTGTACTCTTGAAGCATGTGTGTCCATATGTCATTGAACTGGTGGGAAGATAGCGGTTGTACGTCCTTGTGGCTAATGGAAAAGTTTGGTTTTTCTTCAGAAGTCTGATAGCGAGCAAGAAAAGACTGGAGTGATTTGGTTTTATTTAAAGGACTAGTTTTATTTAAAGACAAAATTCATGTTATCTATCATAGACAAGTATTATTATTATTTTAATTGAATAATCGTTTTATTAGGGGCTTATACAACTCATCACAATCCGTACATACATCATTTGTGTCTAGCACATTAGTACATATTTTGACTTCATCATTCTCACAACATCTGCTTTCCACTTGAGCCCTTGATGTCAGCTCATTTTCCCCCCTCCCTCCCCGCTCCCCCTTCCTCCTGAACCCTTGATAATTTATAAATTATTATT